CGCCCCCTCAACCTCTCTCTCGACACAGATTTTGTGCTCGCTGCAGAGGAGACCGTTACGAAAACTGGCCCCGAGAAGCACTTCCGCTTTGGGACCAACTCCGGCTCCGCAGCCCAGAGGGCTGTAGCGGCCGGTGTGCGCACGCTCAGTGGGGGCTTTGAGCCCGCGGACACCAATAGTCAACATGGGGACCCCTCCCGCCTGCCGGACGCGAATGCGACGGGGCTGCAGCGCAGGCGCAGAGGGGAGATGGCCGCTCCGGTTACGTCACTGCTCTGAAACGATGGCCGCGCCCACTGCGTCTCTTCCCTTCGAGGGCGGCAGTGTAGAACAGGTGCTTACTTTGATTTGCGGAGGCCGTCATTCCTAAGACTCCAAAGATCGGTTTCCTTATGGAGGGAGGGGAAGGGCCCAATTAAGGAGAATGCAAGCAGGCAGGAATTTCATGTCTTGAACCTGGAGGGCAGTATCGGGTTTGCAGGTGTAATTGAATAGGAAGTCGGGATGCGTGGCAGAATTGCTCAGCGTGCACAAAGGCTAGGAGGTAGGGAGAGGTCACTGGCTCCATCCAGTGGCTAAGGCTGGGAGTTTACAGCCTAGCGTTTGAAGGACGGTGTGCAGACAAACAAGAAGCTGAAGAATAAATAAATGGCCACCTAGTACACACACACACCGGGATGAAGGGGATGTGTTAAGTAGTGACTGACAATGTTGTTGTCTCAGGATGGGCAGGGACGATCTCCTTTTGTCGGGGGTGAGAGTTACGCTGGTCAAAAGGAGCCGGCCGCACAAATATTTGAAGCAAAGAGCTTTGTGGTGGAGGGCGCGGCTGTTACAAAGGCCCTGAAGTAGGACCTGGTTTGGCACGTTGGAGGAACAGAAAGTGTCAGTGTGTTGGGAATATAGAAGGTGTGGACAAGGGAGAAGTGAGTGGGTGCCAGATGCTGTAGGGCCTCCTCTGCCAGGGACAGAGCTCATGTCTCATTCTGACATAATGGGATGCCATTAAGGGGGATCAGATTTTTAAAACACCAGTCTAAAGCAATCTAGCATTATATATTAACTTTAAAAATACACGTAGATTAGACTCTTGTTTATTGCCTGTCTTGAACCGCTAGGACATGAGCTCCGCAGGAATTTGCTTAAGCACCTCCCACATGCCAGGTAGTGTTCTAGATATTGGGAATACTGCAGGAGAGAAAACAGAACCAACCAAACAAACAAAAGTGATGGAGACAGCCTGGTTGCAAACTCCCACCTACCAGCTGTGTAATCTAGGGCAGGACTCAATTCCTCTGTGCTGAATTTCCTCATCTATAAAATGGTGGATAATGACAGCACCTACCTCATTAGGGCTGTGGTGACAAATGAGCTGATAATTGTAAATGGCTTAGAACAATGCCTGGAACACAGCAAGTGCTGTGTAACTGATGATGATGATTAAAATAAAATTAGACGTGTGTATGTATAAAACTTTTTTTAATAAGAAGAACAAAATAAAAAGATGACCTTCAGGCTGCTTTGTGGATGACAGATTGCAGAGGGCAAGGGCGAAAACAGGAAGAACAATAAGAAGGCTCCGCCAACAGGCCCAGCAAGTGATAATGGAGGCTCAGACCTAGCTCAGTATCTCCTGTGTGCCAGGCACTGTGTGAAGCACATGACATGACCTGCCTCAGATAGTCCCCACTTTCTGTGAACAATCCTGTGGTCCCACCCATCTTGTTAGGTGAGGAAACTGAGTCCCAGCGAGACTAAGTAACTTGCCCAAAGTCACACAGATTCCCAAGATCGGATCCTTAACTTCTACCCAATAATACTCTTCTTTTGTTTATTCAGTATCCCACAGAACTTCCAGAAAATATCTGAGGGTGTTCATTCCAGAACCATTAAAACCAGGCAAGGAATTTTTTTTGGGGGGGGGCAGGAATATAGATGGAGCTTCCTAGCAGACAAAGCAAAGAGAGAAAGCAGGGAAGTAACTCAGGTCTCTTGCTCTCTTAAGGATCTGTACCTCCTGGGTACAAAACTTGTCAACTCTCTTAATGAATTAGGATGTGGAAAATAGGAGGGGCTGGACCTTTAGGGCCCCTGTCAGTCTGGCCTCTTCCACCCTGTAAACATAACTTCTCCACCACCTTGTATACACATATATATACACACACCCCTGTGTGGAGGGGGAAATCCTATAGGGTTGGTGGGTGTTGGGGTACAGTGATTTCCAGCTCCAAAAATATTCTGAGCCAGTGATACAGCCCTGCAGAAACTGTCCCAGGGTTCACAGTGCGTATCCACAAGCTATGTGAAACCAGATTTTCTGCTGTGGAGCTAGGATGCCCACGCTCTGTCCTGGGCATCCTCTACCATCAGTCCCTACAGGTACAAACTCATTCAGTGGCCTAAGCAGCAGGTAGCTAGGTGAAGGGGTGTGGAAAGCTGACAGGTAGCTTGTCCCACCACAGAATCTGCACGATGTGACACTCCAACCCAAAGGCCACCCCCACCTCGCTGGTGAGTCATTAAAACTGCTCTTAAGATACATTTTCTCAAAACTGTGGAAGTGTTGCCAATTGTGAGCAATCATTTTGGACCATGAGGTAGCAGGTGAGTTTGGCAGAGCTACAACATAGGAGCAGCCAGCTCTCTGGTGAGCTTGGAGCTGCCACTCTAGCCCTGCCTCCAAGAGAGGAATCCCCTTCCATCCTCTTGAAGCTATTGGTATTTAGGGTGGTATTGGTATGTGCAGCCAAACTGAATCCTGAACAATACATCAGACTTTTCTGTCTTGGCAGATGTGTCACTAAACAGAGACATGTGGGACCAGTGAGGGCAGGGGGTGGTGAATAATGGTGAATGAAGGACAAATTGGGAATGAATGGGGGCAAGGAGAGACAAAGGGGGATGGCAGGAGGTGAATGAGCAGTAGAGTGGAGTGAATGTGGGTAGTGTGGGGCAGAGTAAGGAAATGACTACGCATTCAATTTTTTTTTTTTTTTTTTCGCATTCAATTTTGAATCAATTTAAGCTTATGGATGAGACTGAGTAAGTAATGGGAAAATGAGGCACCGTCTAAGTGGCAAAAAGTGAAAGAGGGAGTGGACTGTGAGTGAATGGGGCAATGAAAGGTGGTGAATGTGAATGGGGTTGATAAAGCATGAGAGTGCAAGTTGATATGAGTACTAAGGATTGAAGTGTAAATGAATGATGGTTTATGGGGCACAATATGAGTAAGGAGAGGTGAATTTAGGGAGAAAGTAGCAGTGAATGGAAGTCATGTGAGGCATAGAGGGAAGAATGGGGGGCACAAGGGGCAGAATAAGAGGAAACAGAAATGAATACATGGTAGAATGTGAATAAGTGAATCGATCCGAGTTTGTTTGAGTGGGGATACTACGAGGGAGGAGAGTGACCAGAGGTGAATAAGAGGCAGACTGGGATTAGATGGGGTAGGTATGCGGGGCAGCGTTCCAGTAATGTGCAGAGATCCCAGGGGGAATCAGCCCAGGTGAATGAGCAAAAGCATGTGCGTGAATGGAGGTAATGTTGGGCACAGTGAGAGGGGATGGAAGTAAAGAGCAGAAGAAGGTGAGTAATTGGGTATTGTGAGGCAAGGGGAGAGGGGATGAAGGTCCTATAGCCCAAGGTGAGTAAAGTGGGGGAAATGGAGCCCTATGTGAGCAAAAAGTGGTAAATCCGAGGCAGAGTGTGACTGAACGAGGGTACCGCGAGGCAGAGTGGGAGCAACTCAACATGAATTGGGAGCAGAACAAGAGTGATGAGTGGAAACAGGGGTTACAGCGGGAGTGACTTTAAATGAATGAGATAATGGGAGGCAGTGAAGATTGAGAAAGAATGGAGGCGACCAAGAGTAGAGTGAGTATGTGTGGATAACTTGGGCTAGTGTTTGGGAGTAATACACTTTCAGGAAATGCAGGTAATGTGGGAGAAGCACTTGAGAGAATAGAAGTGAAGAAGGGGCAGAAATAGAGTGAATGAGGGAGGGAATGAGGCCCAGAGTCAATGAACAAAGGTGAAGGATGGGCCACGTGAGAGCGGATGGGAGTCATTTGATGCGGTGTCAGGCAGTGAAGGTGAAAGTAGGAAATGAGAGTCTGAGTGGGAGTGAATGGAGGTGAAGAAGGAATAGGATGTGAGAGAGCTTGGGTAAGAGTAAGTAGAGGGTTAGGGAACTGCAGTAACACAAGGCCCAGTGTGAATGAATATAGGTGGATAAGAGGCAGTGTAAGTGGACGAGGGAATAAAACGTAGAATGAGAACGGGGGTGAAAAAGCAGTAGAGTGAACATGTATATGTAATATGTAATGTGGGGCAGAGTCTGATTAAATGGGTGTAACATGGGGCAGATTCCAGTAAATGAGGGTGGAACAGAGCACACTAAGTGAAGAGAGGTGAAGGAGGCGCTGAGAATGAGTAAATAGAGGTGATGTGGAACAAAGGGGAGAGCACAGTGGTCATATTTTATAAAGCATGAGGAATCAGAGGTGGTAGTAGGCATGGTGTAGTGACCAGAGCTGACTACTCAGCAGAGTGGGGGAAATGGAGGTGATGAGGGGCAGAATGAGTGGAAATGGAGGTAACCAAGTGGTAGAGCATGATTAATGGGAGTAGAGTGGGACAGTGTTAAGGAATGTAGGGGAATGTGGGCTGAGTGTGAGGTCTAGTACCTGGGTCCTGTCTGTCCTTTTTGTGTCCCAAGCCCCTCTCTCCCTGCATCCCTTTCTGATATCTCTGGGTTTCTCCCTGTCCTTGTCTCCTTCCACCTCTGCATATACATTAGTATCTTTCTTTTTCTTTGTTTCTGTCTTTAACAGAGCTAGCACAGGGGAAGATGGTGAGATGCCCAACCCTCTGGCTTCTCTGTTCGAGAATCTGTCACTTAGATCTTCACAGAGCCCAAAATTCCAGCATACCCTTAGTTCTGAGCACTGAAGGGTGAGTCTGAAGCAATGGGTCAGTTAGGAGGGCTTGTGCATGTCATAATGCAGGCCTGGGACACTATGGTGGTGACCCTGGCCATGCTGATGCCTGCCACTGTGGATGCCAAGATCTTCCAACGCTGAGACCTGGCAATGAAGCTGGAGGAGGCAGGCCTCAACGGCTTCAAGGGCTACACCATTGGAGGCTGTGAGACTCGTCACCCCATGCCACGAGCTGCCCACCACACTCAGACCCAAGCCCTCCCCCATTGCCATTTGTTACCTCCCAGGCTAGGGAATGATCCTCTCAGTCACCCTCTGACTATGATGAGTACTTTAACTAACTCTAGTTTCATCATCATTGCCTTCACAATCATTTACCCTCATCTCTACTAACACCACCATCACTACCATCAATGTCATCACTGCTGTTATCACCATAGATACCATCATCACCACCATTACTGGTATCTCACCAGAATCACCAACATCAACCCCAAACCAAGAATTCACCCCCAACAACTAAGATGAAAACCATCCCTGGGGGCTTCCCTGGTGGCGCAGTGGTTGAGAGTCCGCCTACCGATGCAGGGGATGCGGGTTTGTGCCCCGGTCCGGGAGGATCCCACGTGCCGCAAAGCGGCTGGGCCCGTGAGCCATGGCCGCTAAGCCTGCGCGTCCGGAGCCTGTGCTCCACAACAGGAGAGGCAACAACAGTGAGAGGCCCGCGTACTGCAAAAAAAATAACAAAAAACCAAAAAGCAAACAAACAAACAAAAAAACCCATCCCTGCCCCATTCCCTCATCCTACCCTCTCCCCTATTCCCAAGACCCATGCCCATCTGCTACCTCCCCCCTCCCTGCCCCAGTGCTGTGCATGGCACACTATGAAAGTGGCTTTGACACCTTCGTGGACCACAATCCTGATGGCAGCAGTGCATATGGCATTTTCCAGCTGAACTCCACCTGGTGGTGTGACAATGGTGTTACACCTACCCAGAACCTCTGTCACATGGAGTGTCATGGTGAGGCAGCATTGAGGACATCTTGAAGCCCTGCCTGGCCTCACTCCCCAACACGCAGAGGGCAAGACTGTCTAAGCCATAGCCTTGAGTAACAAGCAGAAAAATGATAGGGAAAGGAGCAGAATTGCCTGGGCTGTTACAGACACCAGCCTGTATCCTTACCCAGACTACACTGAGATGTTGTCTAGGTAAGGAGGACTCAGAGCTCCCAAACCTCACCTAGAATGGAGGCTGCCATTTTCTAGGACTCAGGAAACAATACACTTAGCTCCAAGTGGAATGGAGGGGGAAACTGTCCTGATTTGGGGTTGGGGTTGTCCAGGCCCTGGAGGAAGAAGCAGATATCTGTCTGTAGGAACAGAAACAAGGTACCTCTGTGCAGAAAGGAGAGAATTTTCCAGACGAGAGTGTGGTATTGTTGAGGACGAAATTGAATAGCAGTAGAAGTTGTTCAGGGTTGGCCAAAATGGTGTTTGAGGTTGTCCAAGATAGGCCAAAATGGAGACTGTGGTTGTTTGGGACCAGCCCAAGTGGAGGTTGAAGTTGTCCAAGTCCTGCCACAGTGACAGAAGAGATCATCCAGGACTTGCCAGCTTGAAGGCTGAGGTTATCCAGGACTAGTCAACATAGTGGTTGAGATCATTAACTAGTCAGAATGGCAGTTAAGGTCATCCTCGTCTAGCCACCATAGCAGTTGATGTCACCTAGGACCAGGCAACATGGTAGCTGAAGTTGAACAGGACTAGCCAACATAGAGACTGAGGTCACTTGTAACTAGTAAAAATGAGTGTTGATGTTATCCAGGACCTGACAACATAGTGTTTGAAGAGTCCCCAGGACTGACCAACCTTGCAGTGGAGTGGCCAACAGCCATTGCAGTTGAGATCATTCATAACCACACAAAATGACAGTTGAAGTCATCTGGAACTGGCCAACATGGAGCCTGAGGTTGTCCAGGACCAGCCAATATGGTGGTTGAGGTTATTCATAACCAACAAACATGACAGTCAAGATCACTCAGGATCAGTCAATGAGTTAAGGTTGTACAGAACCAGTCAATATGGCAGTTGATGTAATTCATAGCCAGCTAATAAGTGAATCAAGGTCATCTAAAATCAGGCAATATAGTGGTTGAAGTTATTCAGGCCCCAAGAAACCCAGAACCCCTTGTCCCTTCATACACTGTCACCCTGTCCCCAATACACCAGATTACTATATCCCTCTCTTCCTCCTAGAACTGTTCAACCGCCATATTCTGGATGACATCATGTGTGCCAAGCAGATAGTGTCCTCACAAAATGGTATGAATACCTGGTAAGTCTCATGGGGATGTCTTGGACTCTGGGCAGCCGGGATGGTGGCGCTGCCACCCCATCAGCCTGTCCACTTCATCCTCCCTCTCTCCCTTCATTTCCCAGGGATTCTTGGAGCCAGCACTGTTCTGGCCATGATTTATCTGAATGGCTCAAGGGGTGTCATATGTATGCAAAACCTTACACAACAGAAATTAATTCATGACTCAGCTTCCCAGAGATAGAGATTTCATTTTCCTTTCTGTTCTTTCTTTTGTGGATTTAATAAAGGATGATATCTATAAACAATTCAAGAGGCCCCTGATGTCTGACTCTCTTCATTTTTCCAATGCCTGAAGGTACCCCTATTCAATCACTCCCTCCATATATTCAAAGCTGTAATCAGGGGACACGAGATCACTCAGGGTCGGGGTGGAGGATAATGTAGTGATTAAGAGCATAGGTTCTCCTGGGTTCAGAAACAATCTCTACCACTTACTGTCCCCAAGTTGCCTTGGGTAAGGCACTTAATTTCTTTGTGCCTCAGTTTCCTCATCTGCAAAATGAGGATGATAGTGATAGTAACTATCTCATGGGTTGTTGAGAGAATTAAATGAATTAATGTTTGTAAAGCACATAAAGTGTTTAGTACACAAGACAATTCTAGGTCTGGAAATAGAAGGGTGGTATGAAAATTGGCTTCCCTTAAAAAGTATCACTCTCAGTTGAAGTAACTGCAGGGTCTTTTTTTTTTTTTTTTTTTTTGCAGTACACGGGCCTCTCACTGTTGTGGCCTCTCCCATTGCAGAGCACAGGCTCCGGACGCACAGGCTCAGGGGCCATGGCTCACGGGCCCAGCCGCTCCACGGCATGTGGGATCCTCCCGGACCGGGGCATGAACCCGCATCTCCTGCATCGGCAGGCGGACTCTCAACCACTGCACCACCAGGGAAGCCCTACAGGGTCTTTAATTAAGGTAGATACAGTCTCTTCAGGGGAAAATGGAATTGGTTTCAGCTTACAGAGAAAGCTCAGTGGGAATTAGGATTTTAAAGTATTTACATTCTCCCACATCCTCCCACATTATTACCATTCTAACTCTCAGCTCCCAACTCCTTCTTTCATGATCTGTAACCAAAGTTTCAAATGACAAACTGGAAATTTAGGCCAGGAATTCAATGGATGCACAAGGTAATAATTATCTTTACAGAATCCCCGGGTTTTGGTCTATGTCTTGAGCAGAGAATTTAGGAATTTGAACTTGCCATCCTTTCTCTTTGTGCTGACCAGCCCCATTGGAAGCAGCAACCCCCGTGAGGAAGCAGTCCCTCACGTCCTTTGTACTCTTTGGTTGGGGTGGATATTCAACTACCCAAAGCCTTGTTTTCAGTGTTGACTTCATCCAGATAAGCACAGATGATCATTAAAGCAGTTATCTGCCACTGCATGCCAAGGAATGCCAGAGCCCCCTTCCTTAATGCCACCTGGATTTCCCCTGCCTTCAGCCCCAACCAGCCTAGGTAACCAAATCTCACATTTCCCTGGGGTCCGTTAAAGGTACCATCACTCTGGATACCAATTTCTGAATGAGATAGTTATTTATCAAAAGCAGCATAAATAAACTCTGGTGAATTTAAGTAAAAAGCAGATCTCCTAAAAGCCTATCAGGTAGCTCATAGTATTTCTGGGAAGACTGCATGATCTAGCTCAGACAGGGGGAAGGTCCACACAAAGAAGAAGCCAAAATCTTGAACGTAAAATAGGTTGGGGCAAGAATATTGGCATTATCAACTGTTGCTACTTCTGAAAACTGGATTTGATGCCCTAATGTTTCCTATACATTTTTCCGATTATGCATCCTTTCTAATAATTTACAACATTTATAGTATATTTATCATTGTTATTCCTTTAGTGGTTATCTTTAAATCTCTAATTTTATATCATTTGATAAACTCTTTTTTCAGTAGATAGCACTTATTCCCCATTATGGAAGATGTGAAAGCAGCTGTTCTTCATAATAGACTGTATTAGGTTTTTTTCTATGAGAGTTTGGTATTAAATCTGGAATATTTCCCTTAATATCATTGCCATGGGACTATGTTTATCGAAATCAATTAAATTGGGTTTCTCTTGATACCTGTGCCCAGATTTACCATGAGGTCTGGCTCTCATATATTCAAGGCTTCAAAGGACTGCAGTCTTGAACAACCTCTCTGATGTAAAATAGTCATTCACTATACACCCATGATAACAACTACAGAGGCCAAGTATTTTGCACCAGGATCTTGGCTCTTGCTATTCCTTATGCCTGGAATGTTCTTACCCCCAGTATGGCTGGCTCCTTATTTTTAGAAAGACCTTCCATGACCACTTTAGCTAAGGCATGATCCTTTCACCTCACCTTTTTCTTTTCCTTTCACTTTTTTATGAAGGATTTTCCATTTTCAGTTCTTTTGCAAAGTTTCTCTTTTCTCTGAGTTCTTTAATACATGATGAACTTTAACTTCTGGAAGGTTTTTCTTATATTCAGGAAAGCCATAGGGTTTCTCGCCTATGTGGGTTCTTCGATGTAGAGTGAGTTTTGACTTCTCTCTGAAGGCTCTACTACACTTATCACATTTATAGGGTTTCTCTCGTGTGTGAGTTCTTTGATGTATAACAAGATATGATTTCAGGGAGAAAGTTTTCTCACATACATTACACTCATAGGGTTTCTCCCCTGTGTGAACTCTCAAATGAATAATGAGATATGACTACTGGAAGAAAACTTTATCACATTAATTGCATTCATAGGATTTCTCAAATTTTTCTCCTGTATGAGCTCTCCAATGTAACATAAGATAGTACTTCAGGGAGAAGACTTTCCCACATACAGTACATCCATAGTTTTTTTCTACTGTATGAATTCTTTGATGAGCACTGAGATTCAGCTTAAGGGTGAAGGCTCCTCCACAGTCTGAACACACATAAAGTTTCTCTCCTGTATGAGTTCTTTAATGTCTACGCGATTTTGATTTCTCTCTGAAGGATTTGCCACATTCTTTACATTCACAGGGTTTCTCTCCTGTGTGTGTCCTCTGATATGTACCTTTTTTTTTTTTTTTTTGCGGTACGGGGGCCTCTCACTGTTGTGGCCTCTCCCGTTGCGGAGCACAGGCTCCGGACGTGTAGGCTCAGTGG